GTTACTTTCAAAACCAGACTCTAGGAAAAGGGTTAAAAATGCACTTTAGGATCATAATGGTGTACCAACATTCCCTTCAGCTATTAAACTGATCTTGTTCAAGTGTGTTTCGAATGAGTTCATGTTTTCCATCAGGTTCATCATGTTAAGTGCCCTACAAACACTGCACTGACTCTGATGTAATCATGAAGCAATAAGACGCCCCATGAAACTCCAGTGAACAACAGTTCATCTCTGAGCTAAATTGTAGTTTGAGAAAATGGATCCATTTTTTTCTTGATTGATCTGTCTGTGACTGGAATGCTAATGACTCAGATGCAAAACGTGCAACCTTGAATATTTCAAGCAGAACAGGACAGATAGATTCAGACAGGCAATATTGATTTAAACCAAGGAGATTCACATGAAACAAAAGCAAAGGGCAAAGCTCGATTACAATTAAATCGGTTAGTAAATGAATAGTTGAAATATTCTGTGATTATTTACCGAATCTCACTTCGTTTCAAACCTGTATGCCTTTCTTATGTGGAAAAACAAAAGAAGACGGTTTGAAAAATGTCCATGCTGCTCTGTTCCATACAACAAAAGTAGGCAATGACCAGGATATTAAAACGTTTTTAAAGGGATAGTTCCCCCAAAAATAACATTTCTGTCATCGTTTGCCGAACCTCACCCTTGTTCCAGACCCATACTTTCGTTCATTTTCAAAACACAAGTGAAGATATTTTTTAATTTGGACTCCATTGAAAGTCCAAGCAACCACAACTTTCATGCATTAAAAAAGTACAAAAGACATTGTAGAAGTAGACCGTATGAATAGCGTGATGTTTAATCCACATCTTCTGAAGAGACATGATTGCTCTATAATGAACAGGTCAAATTATCTTACAGGTATTTATCATGATACACAGTCATGAAGGTATGCAGGTGACCTTTCTATGATATCATTTCCTGTTGTTGTTGTTTTTCCCAACCCCTTACGTTCTACACATTGGTTGCACCACATGACCGTAATTTGACAAACAAAACTTGTACAAAAAAAACTTATTTTCCTAAATTATAATATATTCTAAATTACTTGGGGAGCTTTCACACAGAACACATTCTTGCATTAAAAAAAAGCAGGACAGACAAATAAAAAAAAAAAGCAAGGTCTGGAGACACATTTTGTACAAGTTAAACTTCTTTTAACTTGACTAACGCAAATGCAACAGTCCAAGACGTCCATCTAACACATGATTACATAGAGAAACAATTGGAAAAGCAGCACAGTGGAATGCAAAAAATGAAGGGGCCGTTCACACAGAATGTGTTTTTGCGGTTAAAAATGCAAGATTTGGGGTTGTAAAAAAAAAACAAAACAAAAAAAAAAAAAACCCACAAGGTCTTGAGCACTGCATTTTCAAAATGCTTTGCCATGTGCAAATGCACTGCAAAATATGTGTTATACGTGTGTGCAATGGTCAAAGAAATCCATCAACAAGCGCATATTTACATGGAAAAGTCACGCGGTAGAACACAAAAGCGTATTCTGTGTGAACGGCCCCTGAGTTTTTTGCCCATGAAACTCATCCTTTTAATGAAACAACTTTTCTTAATTATTATATCATTTATCACTGACATTTTTACTTTATACTCCTAAAAAATATCAAAATGTATTTTAATTCAGAAATGGAAAACATTCTCTTTGTAGAAGAGGTTATGGATTTATTTGTATGTATTTTTGAACAAATGAAGGATATTGTTACCATTTTGCAAAATCTTCTTTTGCATTCCATGGAAGAAAGTCACCTAGGTTTGGAATGACATAAGGGTAAATTATGAAAGAATTGTTATTTTTGGGTGAATTATTCCTTTAATAGTATTGGTTTTCTTTAAAAAAAAAAAAAAAAAAGTAGAAATACCAAAGACTCCCCATGTCCTTTTATGAAGCTCTGTAAACCGAAATTGACTTGATAAGGCAATGATGCTTCAAATTATTTTGCAATGCTCGTTATTTTCTGTCCTTTTCGATAAGGAGAACATATAACGCAAAGCAGTAATCAAAGTAATCAAATTGCGTTTCAGGAATTTTAATAAGGTAATTCCCAACATATTTCTCTCATGGGAAATGTAAAGCGGAAGCATAACTCGGAAGGCAAAAGCATGCGTGTGTATGTGATGTGAAGCTGGTGCCTGTGAAGTATGCGCTGTCTCCAGCTGGTACATAAGCGCTTTTTGTTCTCAATCCATCCAGCAGCTGGACAGATGAGTCACTGCGAAGAGCTTTGGCAGGAGGGAGAGACCGACACTATTTGATTCCCACGACAGCCAAAAACTAGCACAAGTCATTCAGAAAGAACACAGTAAATCAAGGAATTCATCATGGAAATTGCAAAACACTATGCAATCAATGGAATTGCAAAGAAATTGACTTAAAGGGAATAGTTCGCCCAAAAATGAAAAAATGACACCCTCAGGACATGATGTAGTTGAGTTTGTTTCTTCATCAGATTTGTAGAAATGTAGCATTGCATCACTTGCTCACAAATGGATCCTCTGCAGTGAATGGGTGCCGTCAGAACGAGAGTTCAAACAGCTGATAAAAACATCACAATAATCCACAAGTAATCCACACCACTCCAGTCCATCAGTTAACATCTTAAGAGAAAAGCTGCGTGTTTGAAATAAACAAATCCATTATTAATGTGTTTTAACTTTAAACCTTCCAGCTAAAATATGAGTCCATAATCCATAATAACTCTTCCTCCGGTGAAAACGTCCATCTCCTGTTGTCTCTCACATCAAATCCACCCACATATTTGTTTTGGACTGTTTTCACTTGTAAACAGTGCTTGATCTGTGCAGATTTCTCTCCTGATTCAGACGAGACGACTTTTTCATATTATGGATAGAGGACTCGTATTTTAGCCAGAAGCAACAGTTTGATGTTAAAAATGCCTTGATGGATTTGTTTCTTACAACCACACAGCCTTTCTCTTCACAAGACATCAACTGATGGACTGGAGTGGTGTGGATTACTTGTGGATTATTGTGATGTTTTTATCAGCTGTTTGGACTCTCATTCTGACGGCACCCATTCACTGCAGAGGATCGAAGTGATGTGATGCTACATTTCTACAAATCTTTTCTGATGAATAAAAAAACTCATCTACATCTTGGATGGACTGAGGATGAGTACATTTTCAGTAAATTTTCATTTTGGGGACAACTATTTCCTTAAAGATGCACTCATGGTACTGTCACATTTGCATAATTTCGGCAAAATTTCTAGGGCAAAAAAAGTAGTATAGCGATGTATGAAGCCTAGCTCACACAGAAGTCACTTGTCTGTCACGGCTAGGCCGGAAGAATTTCCTGTATACACCTGCAGTAACGAGTAATATAGCCTACAACACACAGCATGAAATGAAACATCCCACAATGCAGTGCACTCAAAGTTAGCTTCCATTTTCAGCATGACAGCAGAAACCATAAGTAATTTAGCCACGATTTTTTTACATCTCTTGCTTTGGCTAAATATTTGATGTAATATAGCTGCTAGCTATATATAAATAATATAAATAAATAAACAAACTACAAAAATTTGCTTATAAATTGCTTATTATTACCAAATATTGGATTCAATGTTTTTATCAACTTGTTTTCCTTCAATTAGCACAGGTTTTGTATTTGTTAAACTGACTGATCATAGACATCATTGATCTGAATTTATGTACCTCTGTTTTTGAGTAAATACTGCTAAAATTAGCAGCAAGTTTGTTTGTTTTTTTAACTAAAAACGAAATTCAAAACCTGTGCTAACTGGGGGAAAAAAGGATAAAAAGATTGAATCCAAGATTTTGTGATAACACAGCTTAATGAGATTTTAAAACTGGTTATATATTTTTTTCCCACCAAAACCAAATTAGGATTTGCACAGCCAATTTGGAGTGCAACTTAAAAAAAAAAAAACTATTTGTAATTGTATTTATATTTTTTACAATTATATTGAAGTCTCAACTGAAAAGTTAAAACCCCCTATTCGTTTAATTTGTCACCCATCATAAGCTTAGTCTGCAACCATATGTATCTAATTACACACTTTAGTCTTTGCAAATTTACAGATCTTCTTTATGCACCAAGAGCTTGTAACACTCCAAAGAGAAAGGAAAAAATGAAATCGCATCATATGACCCCTTTAAAGGAATAAAAGTAGCATTCGGCTGGTGACCAGCACAAGGGGGACCACACTTATGTTCACTAAAACACTTTTTCTGGACCACTGATACAACGGGAGACTTCATCTTACATGAGTGTACATCATTTCAAACATAGTCAAAATTACTACTCAATCAGTCTTTCAAAGATGTCAATTCTACATCAATCACTTGCCACATATGCAAATAATGACTGCACATCTGAAATGACACAAAACATCACCTCACAACTCCAGCAAGACACTGCTATCATTAGCACACATGAGCTGAATGACAGTAATGGGCATCTGTATGCACATAACACATATGAACTCAGTTATTCTAGTTAATATGCCTTTCTTGCTCACCTCAGCACTAGATACAAGCGTCTAGACTTAGATGTAGTCTGCTGTATATATATAAAAAAATGCATTAAGAGGATGGTGAGCAGAGGATGGTTTAGTCTAGAATCAATCTATGAACGTAGGGGTTTAATTTCCTAAACAAAAATAAATAAATAAATACAAATAATAATAATAATAAAAAGATTGTCACTGCATTATAACAAAATATCAAAGCAAACAAATACTGCAGCTTTTCTCAGAACTGGATTTGCACTTTTCGGAGCCATTTTTTTCCCTCAGTATTTGTTACCATTTTAACTGGTGTCAAGTAGAATGTATTGGCTGTATGAAGTGGATGTTCGGTTTACTGGCAGGTGTTCATACTAAGCGTCCGAAGAAGCGTTTAGCTGTAGATTTGTTAGAAGTACAAACTTAATTAATCGATTATACCAACTTAAGAATAAGCATTCACACTTACCACTAAAGCACTGCGTTTCTTCGCACTTTTTCGCATGCTATTTTGTCCGTATAAACAAGCGACACGACGCCACAACCAGCCTATGCTGAGAGTGAACGCGACGCGCGAGTGACGTCGACGCCAGTTGACCAATCAAAGACTTAGCTTACGCGTGCGTCGCGTCGATATCGGTGTCGCGTGTGTTGCTATAGTTGATCTTAAAGGCGAACTACTAAGCTACTAAATGCATTTATTTCCCACCCATAATTGTAAATGTAACAAATTGCATTGCAATATTTGTTGTTTAGGCTACTGTGGGAAAGTCAAGGCGTGCAAATGAAGAAACATTCCCAGTTCCCAAGCTAAATGTGGCATTACTTATAAGTGTTTTTGTCTGTTTGGTGTAACTTTAAAATATAGAAGTTGCATTAATTCATGTTCTATAACTGCTGCTTATTGGCAAACATAAAGGTGAAATTAAATCTGTTACCAATAAATAAAAATTACAATGAAATATAATTTATTTTTTAACTCATTGGATATTTTATACCTTTATAGTTATTGTACTAAAAACAATAAAATTAAGGATAATACATATAATAAATGTTCTTTTTGAACTGCAGAGGAAGTTTTGAGTTCTGAAACAGTATCTATTTTTTTGCAATGTAGTACAATAACCTCTTATGTCAAGAAAAAATGGTTCATGACATGATTTCTATAACGATTAAGAGATTTAATTTACATTAGTGAACAAACATTAGTCAGCAAGCACTTTAATTTTTAATCTGTACACTGCTGTGGCAAAAACACAGACAATGAGCAGCATGCACATTAAAAAATAATGAGTTGGCTCAACATCAATAACAACAACAAAAATGAACTACATTGAGGATTTAATAATTTTAAATTTATTACTAAAAAAAAAAAAAAATAAATAAAAAGAAAAAGTTGCTCCGACTATTTGAGTTGTGGCTCTGGAGCCAATTAGTTTTTCAGTTAAAATAAACAGCTAACATAGCACATGCTAAATGTAACATATTTCACATGTAACAAGTAAGATATTATGTAGTATTTACCTTATGTAGCCACCAACAACCAAACCCAGAGCTCTACTCTTCAGCACAAAATATCAATCTTTTGAATGCATAAGATTATGTTCAAAACTAACATTACTGTCATGTGCTCAAAATATTAACACAAAAATGTCACTTCAGCGGCACTGGGCCTATTTTATATCAGATGTAAGAGGTGTCGCCATCAAGCAGCAGAAACCAAAAAACCTGAAGCTGAACAAGTGAAGGATCCTGATTAAAGTTCAACATCCTTTCAAGAGAGAGAAGCTCTAAGAACAGTTCCAAATCAAGCAGCTTTGAACAGTCAAACATAAAAGAGGATATTTTACAAATGTCCCTGCCGTATTTTTTTTCTTTGACCATACAATGGAAGCCAGTGGGCAACAGTACAGTTTGCTGATCAAACAAACAGATTGTAAGTTTATTTTATAGTGTAATTTATAAAAATATATATTAATAAATACATATTTAGAGATATATTGGCTTAAAGTGTTAATAGTGCTGTCTTAGATAAATCAATCAATCAATCAATAATTATTTTATTTTATTTATTATGCATACAATCATATTAAATATGTACAAACACAATATATACAAATATTAAATATTTACAAATATTCCATTAAACATGAATATGCTACATAAATGCTTTAAGCCACTTGGTCTCAACTGCTGGTCTTTGATTTTGTTTGCCATGCGCTGCTTTTTTTCTGGAGGTGACTGCCGGCCCACAGCTGCATGATCCTGTTGAAGTAACAGACATGATGATGAAACACTGAGCAGATTTAATGAGTGATTCTTAGAGAAAATCTAAAGACATATTGCTTCTATCATGAGGGGGGTTTATTAATTGAAAAGGACATGATACTCGTCCTATATTATCTTACATATTGAAATATAATACATACAGTTTTAAATAGAAGACGCAGAAAACTTTAGTGTTTAGAAAACTTTAGCTTTAGTGTTTCAGTTTTTAAATATGTCTAAAGAGAGATAGAAGGGACTAACCATCTTCAGGGTGAGCTGGGATCTGGGCTGTGGGGCTTGATGGTTCCCCAGTTTGAGCTTCAGCTGCACCTTGTCGATTTCCACACCCAGTTTTTTTTGTGGAGGCGGCTCACACACATCGACATTGTCCTGTTGAAGGAGCAGACATAATCATTTCTTAAATCTAACTATCTATCTTTCTGTCATTTTGAAATATAATGTAATACAATTTCAGATACAGTAGATGACCTAGACAACATAGTAGCTTAGGTGAAGGCAGTGTTTAATTTTTAGAATAAATCTGAAAATAAGTAAAAACGAGAGATGGAAGGGATTACTGATGCTTTCTGCTGCCTCCGCTGTCTCCACTGCTCCCTCCGCTTCTGCCTCTGCTGCTCAGTGATTCTGGGATTTGCACCCTGTTGTGGGGAACTTATGGTCACAAGTGCTCCCTGTAGGTTCCCAGAATCCACAGGCGCCACGCTTGAGGTCCTGGAGGGCATGGGTAGTGCCTGGGTGGCAGAGACAGGAATGCTCTGATGCTCAGCAAGCCTCCGTTTTCTTGTCTTCGTGGTTCTGGAGGGCACTGTTGCTCCTTTCAGAGGCTCAGCGGGCACTGCCTCTGCTGGTGGAGACCTGGCAAGCACTCCTGCTCCCTGTGGGGTCCCGGCATGCACAGGGTTCCTGTCAGGTAAAGGTGCTTCTTGAGGAGACTTGGAAGGCATGGGAGCACCCTGCACAGGAGAGGCTTGAGGCTTCTGCTGCAGCAAATCCTTCCTCAGTCACTCAGGTATCTTGAGCTTTTGTCACTCTGGGGTCTTTTGAAGCACAGGTGCTCCCTTCACAGAAGAGGTGGGAGGCTTCTGCTGCAGCAGCTCCTGCCTCAGCGGCTCAGGTATCTTGAGACTTTGCCTATCTGGGGTCCTGTTGGGCACGGGTGTTCCTTGAACAGAAGAGGCTTGAGGCTTCTACTGCAGCAGGTCTTGCCTCAGTTGCTCAGGGATCTTTGGTTTTGGCACCTTTGGGGCAGGCATAGCTTCTCTCTGTAGAGACTTGGTGTGCATGGGTGTGTCTTGAGGTGCTCCCTGTGGGGACCTAACAGGCACAGGTGCTCCCAGTTCAGAAGCGGCCTTTAGCAGATGTTGCCTCAGATACTCAGGGATCCTGTGCTTTCCTCTTCGTTGAGAGCCAGTGGTCACAGCTGGTCCCTGCGGGGACCCAGCAGTCTCAGGTGCTACCTGAGGCTTCTTCTGGCTCCACTTCCTTTGCTGTTGCCTGAAGGGTTTTCAGTATTTCATTAGATAATTCTGAGTCCCCACACTCAGCCTTCTCTGACCCAGCAAGCACAGGTGCTCCCTGAGGCTTCTTCTGGCTCCACTTCCTCCGCTGCTCTGTGGTCTTCATTGTTGTATCTGAGAAGCCTAAGTGCGGAGACTCAGCCTTCTTAGATGATGTGCATAACTCAGATGCTTATAATGTAAAAGTATATACCTCCTTCTACATGCATATCTAATAATTGTAAGAGATAGCTATTAAACAATTAAAGCTTTCAGTATCAGCTTTCAGAATTAATCATAATCAAGGAGTGATGGGTGGAGTTCCTCACAAAGACAAGATAACATCTATGAGGCTCTGTATTTATGAGTAAATGTTTATGGTCATAGTCTGGATTTGGCACTGCAAGATTTGTTCTGTTCACTGAAAAGTGTTGTGTTTATAGAGAGATTATAATGTGTCATTAAATATCAAGAATATTAGAGGATATCATCTGTATGGGAGCATAATTATCAACAATTATATATAAAAAAAAAACAAATTGCTCAAATCAGTCATTGCTTTGATCATTACTAGTTTACATATCTGAAACTTTCCACACGGACCTCCACTGTGTAGCATGCCTGTTTATTTATCTCAATGCACAGAGCAGATTTTTCTCCAAGTTCTGAAAATATTGATTACAAATTTAGATGTCCAAATTGTAAAGAGGATACTCACGAACACTCGTCACAACTCGCTACAAAATGCCTGATTCCACTGCACTCATATTTATAGAGTACTCCCGATCGTTCTAATGGAATGCAGCGATCATAATGACGTAAACAATGGACCACCCACTGATCGGAAATTTGTATTAAAACAACGCATCTGCTTTAAATATTACAATTATAATTACAAAAAAAAGATCAAATAAAAAATGTTAGATTAATTTGATTACCTAAACTCGCAAAATAAATATAATATTCAAGCTCTTTATGACAGCAGGGAGCAGCAGCCAGCGCGTTTAGTTGTCATGGCAACCATATACATTGTGCACTGAATCTCTTGAGTCAGTGTAACCACATCACCACATCACAGTGTAACCACTAGATGCCTGTACAGCCCTATTTATAAATATATACAGGTCTGTGTGTTCCCTACTTACAGAGAACAGTGTTTTCAGACATAATTACTTACTTTTATTGGGTTTTTAATTTGGATATATATGTAGGGAGTTTATTATTAATTTCATTACAGACATACACGTTTGTATATTTCTGTAGTGTAATTACATATAAATTGCAAAATAAATAAATTGAATAAATATATAGGCTATAAAATATATATAAAATATATATTACAAAATGTATACCATTATACCGATTACTACCGTTCAAAAGTTGGGACTGATTTTTTTTTTTTTTTTAAAGTCTCTTGTGCTCACTAAGGCTGCATTTATTCAAAACTACAGTACAAACAGTATTGTGAAAAATTATTACAGTTTAAAAGAACTGTTTTCTATTCAATATATAAAAAATATTCATTTCTGTGATGCAAAGCTGAATTTTCAGCATCATTACTCCAGTCTTCAGTTACATGATCCTTCAGAAATCATTCTAATATACTGATCTGCTGCTCAAGAAACATTTCTGATTATTATCAATGTTAAAAACAGTTGTACTTCATATTTTTGTGCATTTTTTTTCAGGATTCTTAGTTAAAAAAACAGCATTTATTTTAAATAAGTACTTTGCAAGTTTATAAATGTCTTTACTGTCACTTTTGATCAATTTAATGCACCCTTGCTGAATATAAGCATTAATATAATAAATCAAGCAATCAATCAATTCATCAATTTTACTGGCCCTAAACATTTAAACGGTAGTGTATATTATGTCTTTATTATAATATATGACATTCCAGATTTGGGATGTGGGATGGTTTGGGATGATAATGTTTGAGATACATTAACTATATCCTTAAAACCACATGTAAGGAAAAAGAATGATTGTTTTCCATCCTACATTTGCCTTTATTAACAACATATATCTGGATGTGCACAAAAAAAAAAAATCTTGTTACAAAATTCTTCCCAAAATGGTTAAAAGGCTCAGAGCCTGTGGAGCAGCCTGATGAAGAGCTGAGTCTCAACGTCTCTGCAGATTCTGACAGAAAGAAGCACAAGATAAAAACATGAAGAGACTCATGAGCATCATTTATATACGAGAGAAATAACCTGACACACCTGCTGAGGGACACTGAACGGACCAATCAGGAGAGCTCGTGTCTCTAGTGATGTCATCACTGCTGAAACTATGGCTGTGACTGCCTTCATCATCATCTTCATCATCGCTGTGGTGGATCCTCATCACCTGCGGCTGCCGCTCCTTCTCAATAACCAACAGACGTCTGTTCGAAGAAAAGCACATTTTAACAGGAAGTGTGTGTGTGTGTGTGTGTGTGTGTGTGAGAGTGTGTGTGT